TATATATTTAGGTGTTCCTGTATTCGGTGCATAGACATTTATAATTGTTAGCTCTTCCTGATGGATAGATCCTGTAATTATTATATAATGCCCTTCTTCATCCCTTGATACTATGTTTACGTCTAGTTTGTCTGATATAAGTATAGCTACTCCAGCTTTCTTTTGACTTCTAGTAGCATGATAGATATTTCTTCATCCCCTTACTTTCAATCTGAAGGTGTCCTCAAGTCTAAAATGAGTTTCTTGTAGACCGCAAATAGATGGATTTTTTTTTAACCCATTCTGCTACGCTATGTCTTTTGATTGAAGCATTCAGCCCATTTACATTCAGTTTTATTACTGAAAAATATGGGTGTAGATTCATTTTGTCCTTTGTAGGATTCATGCTTGTGGTGGTGTCTCTGGTACCTTGCGTTTCTTGCAACATTTCTCTCATAAAGTCCCCCTCAGGATTTCTTATAGGGCTGGTTTAGTGGTGGCAAATTCTTTCGATTTTTGTTTTTTTGGAAAGACTTTTTATCTCTCCTTCTATCTTCTCCTGTCTTCTGAATGACAGGCTTGCTGGATAGAGGATTCTTGGCTGCATAATTTTTCTATTTTTTATGACCCATGAGTATGGAATGTTTTTCCATTTATTTGTGTCTTCTTCAACTTCCTTCTAAGTTTTCTATAGTTTTCATCATACAGATCTTCTATATCATTGGTTAGCTTTACTCCTAGGTATTTTATGATGGTTTTATTTATTTATTTTTTTTGGGTGCAATTGTAAATGGGATCATTTTCTTGATACAGTTATGTTGCTTATATATGTTTTGAGCAGTTCTTTCGCTGTCATTTCTTCCTGGAATTTCTTTGGAGAAGAGTTCTTCCATTTCATCATTTTGGCTAGCTTTCTTTTTTTTTTTTATGTTTCTACATTTTATTTATTTATTTATTTATTTAACAAATAGTTTATTGTCAAGTTGTTTTCCATATAACACCCAGTGCTCATCCCCACAATCTCTTGTTTGTTTTAAAAGCTTGTTATGCACTCCGCAACTGAGAGTGCTACTGTATTAAAGAGGGCTCTTTTAGTGTTCAGGGCCTGTCCATTCAGGAAGTGTTCTTTGAATGGTTTCTATTGGTTTCTCTTGTTGAGACTTTGGTTATTTTATTTCCCTACTCATAGTGGTATTTGGGACTCTTCACCATGTGTACTTTGGCTTGTTTCTTGAGGTAGCCCTGGAAAAGAAAACAGACAGACAAGACACAGGGAACAAAGGCACAGAAATGCACATACAAATCCAACAAACATGCAAACTGAAAGAGAAAAAAGAAAAAGAAAAAAGGAAGGAACAAAAATCCAAACAAAAAAAAAAAAAGAGGAAGGAGGGAAGACAAATAATAAAAACATATAAAAATGAAAAAGACGAAAAGAAAAAAACCTAAAAGACAAACACAGTGTAAAAGCATAAAACCAGAATTCCTAGCTACAAATAAAGAGCCGGGTGTATGCAGTGCTGATGAAAGAGCATATACAAAGAGAGAAATGACAGGGCGGGGAGGAAGTGAAATTGGAGATGAAATGACCAGGCAGAGAGACTAAGAAGCTTGATTCAGAGGGAGGAGGGGAATATGGTTAGAGGCAAGGAGAAAGAAATGAAGATAATGTTACTCAGAGAAGCTATATAGTCTGATTACTCCAGAGAGAGAGAAAGAGATAAAAAGGTAGAGGTGAAGGTGTAGAATATACATCTAGAGAATGGATTAAATGTGACTATTTAAGGAAACCAGTGACCAGTGTACCCCATCCAGCAGAGTGGAGCCTTACGAATGAGACAAAGGAGAATATATCTGAATAGAAAGAATTGATCTAGAATTAATCACAGCAGTGTATCCATGTTGGTCTTGCCCCAGGCTCCAGTTAATAAAAAAAAAAAAAAAAAAAAGCAGCTCTCTAGCCGGGATGGGCGTTGTTTGGTGTAGGCGTCTTAGCCTCCATTGTGTCCTGCAGCAACTCCCTGAGGCCCCACCTTGGTGGTTGTGGGGAGAAAAATGGTGGCGCCCCAGTCCCTTCTTGAACCAAGTGTTTCAAATCTCTCTTTTGGGTCCAATCTCCCTTTGCTGCGTGCATAGTCAAGGTGGGCTGTGTTCTATTTCCCAAGCTAGACCTCCTTTCCAGGCCCCAGTCTGCGCACTTTATTGATACCTCCAGAAACACAGTCCCACAGGTCGCTGCTTCCCTGCTGCGGGGGGTCAAGCGGGGGTTGGGGGGGAAGTGGGGAGTGGGCAGCGTCGCAGCCTCAGATCTGCACAGCCTCAGATCAGCTGCCTCCGCCCTGGCCGCCCTGCCAGGGGTCAAGCCTGGGGAACATAGCCTCCAGCCAGCCGCCTCTGTCTCCGCGCTGCCGGGGATGGTGTCGGGAGTGCAGCAGAGCAGTTTTTCCTGGCGCCTTCTGGGACCAGGGGCACCCAGTTCAAAGTCAGCACCCCAGCTGGAACTAAAAACACTCTCCTTCCAAGCTAAGCTTTTTCTCTTCTCCAGGGACAGGTCTTTGAGCAGTTTCAGCTGCTCTTTCTTTTTCCCTGGACTCATCGCGGCTGCCCGCGAGCGGGGCTCCCTCCCCTCCCTCCGTGTCTCTGGTCCCAGCCCGCTTTTACCTTCCCCAGTTCTCACTCACACACTTATGAGGTTGACTTCCCAGTGTACTCTGTCCCTTTCTCTTCCCAAACTCCTGTGGCTCAGTGTCCTATGGCTTCAGGCCTTCTCTGTTTGAAAGATGGGTGCGAGCAAGATGCACGAAGCTCCCTACTTCTCCGTCATCTTGCCCCCAGTGAACATTAACACTTTCAATTAATACTCCAGACTTTGAAAAGTACAGATTTCAACCTAACCTTGTCTATAAACCACACTACCTTTTTTTTTTTTTTGTTTTAGAGAGGACACAAGTGAGTAAAGGGCAGATACAGGGACAGAGAGAGAGACCTAGAGAGATGAAGGGCTCATCTGAAGCTGGGCTCTAGCTCACCTGTTGTGTGACTCAGACTCGTCAACTGTGAGGTCATGACCTGAGCTGAAGCCAGATGCTTAAGGACTGAGCCACCCAGGCACCCCTGTCCCTTTATTTCATGTGGCAACAGAACATATAAAGGGTTTCCAACTAAATGGTCAGTACCATATGGACTTGGATACCTGGCTCTTCTGTCACTGTGCTTAGTGACAGCATTTGTTCATAAAATTCTGATTCACACACACACACACACACACACACACACACACACACACACGCTTGTTGAAAAAATCATAGAAAATCGGATGATACATCAGAATTCCAAGTTCTCTTCAGCATTAAAGGTCTTCTTCCCAAGTTTCAGAGATTGCGAATTAGAAAAGGCCATTCTATATCTGTCTATGATAATGGAACAAGGAAGGGTTCATTACCACTAGGCAAGCTTTGAAAACACTCCAGTCAGAAGGTAACAGCTTAGCCTCTGGGGGTCTCCAAAGTCATCATGTTGTAGATACAGTGACGGCCCAGCAGGGGGCCTCATGCAATTTTCAGTGGAAAATGTTGCTTTTATCTAAACCAAATGAGGTGCATAATATCTAACTTAAATCTGCTTTAAAAAAGGAATTAATATTTTCCATCAAATAAAAAAACACATTTAATTGGACTGATCAATTTCCAGGATTATGTGACTGGTTCCATGAGGTGTGGGGAAATGTGTGGGGAAATGTGTGGGGAAATGTGTTCTCCCTTCCCACCTTCCTTTACCCATGTTTTATCTTCATACTGATCTGTGCTTTTTTTTTTCTTTGTAGATTTCTTACCGCTCAATCCAAACTGGATTTCTCTCCCCACAGTTACCCACTCAGCTAGTTAGTATGTAAAGTTCCAAGGGAGTTTCAGATGAAGAAACTATGGGGGCCCAAGGAGGCCACCCCAAAATGGCATATTGACTTGAGTTGAAGCTATTTGGGACACAGCCGGTGCCAGGACACCCAGGTTGTCATCTGTACCTTCTGAAAGTAGGAAATGAGTGTCCCATATGAAAGGTCCCCTCCCTGTACTACGATGTAAACAGACATCCTTATCAGCAGAGATGGGGCTTCAAAGCTGAAAAACCTGTAGAGAGAAACCATGTTACTTTTTTACTCATCTACAACCTCAGCCCAGATTCCACTTAGAGCTCCAATTTAGGGGCACCTGGGTGGCTCAGTCGGCTAAGCGACTGACTTCGGCTCAGGTCATGATCTCATGGTTTGTGGGTTCAAGCCCCACGTCAGGCTCTGTGCTGACAGCTAGCTCAGAGCCTGGAGCCTGCTTCACGTTCTCCCATGCATCTCTCTCTGACCTTCCCTGGTTCATGCTGTCTCTCTCTCAGAAATAAATAAAAACATTTTTAAAAAAAAAGAAGAAGAACTCCAATTTAGAGCTCCCACACAGCTATTCTCTTTTTCCTGTCAATTCCTCACAAATAATTGTCTTTGTCTAAAATATATTTAAAAAACTGCCAAAAACAAAAAAAATCTGCCTGCCTTGGCCATTTCTTTGGTCTCAAATTCTTACTGGGCCTCCCTGCCTATGTAATAAAATTTTGAGAGTTTTTTTCCCCTCCTATTAACCTGTCTCATATCAATTAAATTCTTAAACCAGTTGGAAGAATTTTGGAGGAATAAGGATATTTCTTCCTACCTACAAAGCGTTGCATTTTTTACTATAAAGAAGTGTATAGAATCTTCTGTATGAATCTTCTATATGAAGTTCTATAGAACTTGTATAAAGAAGTTACAGAATCACACCTAAACATATGCAATAAATTTTATTTTAAAAGGTAAAACTTTTTGGCAACTTTTTATAACATGAACATTCAGGGCACCTGGGTGACTTAGCCTACTGAGCATCCAACTTCAGCTCAGGTCATGATCTCATTGTTCTTGAGTTTGAGCTCCACGTTGAGCTCTGGGCTGACGGCTCAGACCTTGGAGCCTGCTTGGGATTCTGTGTGTCATTCTCTCCTGCCCCTCCACCACTCACACTCTGTCTACCTGTCTCTTTCTCAAAAATAAATTTAAAGAATTAAAACATGAACGTTCAAGAGTTATTAAGCAAATTAATCCCCATCGTTGATTATAGCAGGGATTAATGAGTAATTTCGTCACCAGTGTGAACACTCACAGAATCCAGTCACAATTTGGATCTTCAGTGATTCAAGTGTTTTACCCCACACAATAAGATGTGATCAACTTTACAATAATAAAATCCATTTCCTGGATATTCTGTTGCCAATCAAGGCCTTGTTCTTCACCATCATCTCACACGATAGGAAAGCTGGCCATGGTGGCGATTCCACAGTGGTTGTTCCGGTCTCTGGCCATTTTTATGTAGCCACCCATGCCCCAGTCAGTGCCCCAGCTGAAAGAAAACAGGGTTTTCCAACCATTACAAACAATCAAAAACATACATCTTTTTGAACAATCACGTCAAATACTGAAAAGTGCACCAGACGTCAGGACAGATTCAGGAAGAATCAAGAGAGGCCATTCTTCTTTATGGTTGAGTTCTGACCTAGCATAGAATTCTATTCCCAGACCTTTCACAAAACTGCAACGTTAGCAGGAAAAGGAAATTCTTGGAACCAGATGTATTACAGAACATTGAAAAAAATTGCAATTTAGAAATGCAGTACTCTCAAAGCTATATCAGGACCCATCGCAAGCCTGAGGTAGTATCTTAATGTCATCAAGACTATCTGTGTTCCCCCCTAGGTGGGGTAAACACTGCTGGGATTTCAGAAGTGTTCTCAAAAAAGATTCCTTTTTCAAATTCAAAAGTATGTATTCCTGGATTTTCATACCTGTTTTTGACAAGCCAATATTTTTGGTTATCCGATTCTTTTCCTTGAATGCCATGGCCAACCACCAGAACACCGTGATTCGGGTCTTCACTGCTGCACTTTGGATCATAATAAATGCCTAAGGAGTAATATTCAATGCTGGAGTGAGGATTCCCACACGACATGTGATAGTAACCCAGCCTATCAATCACAGTAAGGGAGGCATTTCAAGATTCACTTGTGATATGAATTCAGATGAGATTTAAAAATCAGATACTTTTGTTTAGCTAGGGTGGGGATTTAGGCCCTCATTTGACACCAGGAGAAATACTAACTGTCACGATCTCTTTTGAAAATAATAGTCAAAGGACATTAAAAAAAAAAAAAAAAACCTGCCAAAACTTTATTCCTCTTATAGGATGTCAGGCTAGGGAAACAGCAGAGAACATAAAATTACTTGAGCTAATTTTATGTTTACTGGGCTTCTTTCCAGTGTTAATTTCAGTAGCAAAACTCTTTAAAAATTTTCACGGCCTAACATTTAGAAAAAAGTAAAGTAAGCTATGCCAATCCAATTGTGCAGCCATTTAATTATATTTATGATATCCTTAAACTCGTGGGGCTTTGGGTCAAGTCATGGCAAATAGAAACAGCAGGCATAAATACTACATGTACAGAATGAACAACTATGTTAAATCCACACACCCCAAAATTCTACATACCAAAGAGTCACTCTTTTTTTTTATTGTTGTCCATCTCTAATTTATTTTTTTATTTTTATTTTTTTACAAATGGTTTATTGTCAAATTAGTTTCCACATAACACCCAGTGCTCATTCCCACAAGTGCCCTCCTCCATGCCCATCCCCCCTCCCCCCCATCCATCAGTCCTCAGTTTTTGTCAGCATTCAAGAGTCTCTCATGGTTTGCCTCTCTCCCTTTCCCCCACCATTTCCCCCCTTCTTCTCCCCCTTGTTCCTCAGTTATGTTCCTCCTAATCCTCCTATACGTGCAAACATATGATATTTGTCCTTCTCTGCCTGACTTATTTCGCTCAGCATAACACCCCCAAAGAGTCACTCTTGCTGTTAGGGTGGTTATCTAATTTTTCTACCTAAATTTCTACATCAACAAATGCTTACCTCCTTTATAGAAGCGGAAGGAATCCAGGCTTGCATCTATAAGAGCAGAGATCGCCCACATCTCGTTCAGTGCTACTAAGAGGGCCTTCTCCCGCCGAGGGATGGTCTGAAAGGCAGTGATTTTGGCAATAGAATACTCGGGCCTGTATTTGCAGGGTCCATCCTTTGAACAGTAAAGGAAAAGAAACTTGATTACTACCATCCACCTCCTGGGAACATGACTTCAAGATAGCTTACAGGTGAAAGAATTCCAAGTCAAGTTTGTTGTGAAAGATCCCAGGAGATCAAATGGTATTTATTGTTCTGAAATTGAAAAACTAACGGTTTGAGGGGTGCCTGGATGGCTCAATTGGTAAGCATCCAACTCTTGATTTAAGCTCAGGTCGTGATCTCAGTTGTGGGATGGAGCCCCGTGTTGTGCTCTGCATGGAGGTTGGAGCCTGCTTGGGATTCTCTCTCTCTTCCGCTCCCTCTCTCTCTCTCTGCCCCTCCACCCCTCGTGCTCTCTCTCTCTCTCAAAATTAATAAATAAATAAACTTTTTTTTTTTTTAAAGCAAAACTAACTGGTGTGGATTCAATGAAGCACTTGTGGTCCATGTGTCCATAAGAAGTTTTTCACTCTGGAGAAATCTGTACCCTATATAGAAAGGTATGCATATCTCCATGTAACATAGAAATAAAAGTAGCTATGTGGTAACCATCTAAGCAGAACACTGTGCCAGGCTAATACTGTTTAATGACAGTCCTGACAGTCTGCAGATAGAGAGTCTACAATTAAAAATGTGAATGCTAAATATGGTGTCTGTTTTCTTCAAAAGCATTCAAGTCTAAGAGCAAAGCTGGAATGAAAAGTGAGGAGCTCCACTCACTCTTCCAACATATGGATAGGATTCCTCTGTGTCCAGGCCTCCGTTGTTCCTAACATACTGGAAGGCATTACTCATTAGACCACCATTACAGCCCTCATTGCCTTGAGGCCAAGAACAGTCCAGGAGGTTCTGCACACTGAGGGAAACACGTCTGCCAGTTTTCCGGAGCATCTGTCCTTCAAGGGCACCAGTTGCACTAAAAGCCCAGCCAGAAGCACACCGACCCTGAAAATAAATTATAAAGGTCTCAGTCTACAAAACCAACAGCAAGACTGACAACAGTACATTGATCTGAAAACTCTTTTAAACCATAGCAACAGCAGGGTGGCTGGATGGTCCAGTTGGTTAAGCTTCAGACTTCAGGTCAGGTCATGATCTCAAGGCTTGTGGGTTTGAGACCTGCACTGGGTTCTGTGCTGACAGCTCAGAGCCTGGAGCTTGCTTTGGATTCTGTGTCTTCCTCTCTCTCTGACCCTCCCCAACTCTGTCTCTCTCTCAAAAATAAATGAACGTTAAAAAACAAACAAACCTGCAACACCAATTTTTCCACAGCACGAAACCATACCAAGGGACCCAGTTTCATTTTGGCTTTCCTCTTAGAGAGATACCTGATCTGATGAGTAGTCATCCTTGATACTCACAGGACTTATAGCAGGCATCTGTCTCCTGCTATACACAGGTACAGAGATACCAGAAGGGAAAGAGACGTTCAACACTTTCCCAGTCTCATTCTTCTGGATTTTAAGGCCAAGCATCATGTGCCTGAATTCTTCATTGGTCTTAAGGGAAAAGAAATTAGAATGTTGACAAGCATGAGATTTTGGGGGAAAGTACTGAGAAAAAGAACAAAACGTTCAACAAATCCCTGCCACACACACCATGTCACCAAATTCATTCATTGCCATTGTGAAGTTGTGTTTCCCCTGAGAGTATTCCTGATTGTGCTTTATAATCTTTTTCATGTTCTTCTCCCACACTGCTCTTCTGCATTCTTCAACCTAGAGGCAAACATATAACTTAATCATTTTACTTGTATTTAAAACCTACTGACCTTCTCCAAGTGGATGTGCTCAAAGAGAGGAAGAGAAACAACAGCCAGGGGTGACCTGATGCTTCTGGGAGATGTTCCCCAGCAACCACACAGCAGGACACATGCCCACACTGTGCACAGTCATGGTGCTCAGCTTACTCTCTTGGTAAGAGTGGCCTCAAGATGCTACTCTGTGCTATGAACTCCCACGGACGTTCTCGGTGGGTCCCCTGGATACTTTAGTTGTTACCAACCACACCATATTGTTTCCCGTGTGCCTTCTTCCACTGGATCCATTTTGCATCTAAACTTTGATCAAGCTGTATAGTAGCTGAGGCTATTCCCAAGCAAAGGGCAGTCAGGAAGACAAAACGACGCATGTTTCAAAACCTAGGAAGCAAAAAGAAATGAGTATCTGATTAGACCGAACTACCTAAAACTCTATCCTTCTTTCTTCTTCGATGTTAGACCATTCGAATGGAGTAAAACATTGAATTTATCCTCCCAAATACTTACACAAGGATTACACCGGCCCCTCTGGGAGTGCTCACCTGATTGTGTAGCTGTGCAGATGCCCTCAGCAGGTGTATCTCCAGGGCTCTCTGATGTTGGGCGGTGGCTCCGAAGCCACCCACTTAAAGCCCTAGGGTTTGGCCTGATTGGCCCTGTCCATACCGCCCAGTACACTGTAATCTTCCCAGATCTACTTTTGTTTCCCAAGCTGATGACTTCTATTCTGATGTTTTCTTGATGATAATTGCTGTTCTTTACAGAAAAAAAACTTGTTGACAATGGTCTGGGCTCACCTCCCGGTCAAATGGTCCTTAATTGGTTTTTAAACAATAGAGCAGTCACAGTGGTCCAGTTAAAGGCCCTAAGGAAAAAATTCACGCTTATTCAACAAAGAAAACTATGTCCAACTTCCATTTAGTTGATGCCATTATAAGATGGGGAAAAAAAGTGTGTATTGAAGGAACACTGAAATATATTTAGTGATGATTTTGTGATCTGTGTTCCTGCATGTCAAACCTGAGAACAGGGAGCTGGGAAGAGCTTGGGACTTCCCCCATTCCATTCTTAGAGGCCACGTATCAAAGATTCAAGGGCACTGGTGGAATGGTGTCTGCGTGACTTACCTTCCATAGGTAAGGGATGGAAGAACTATTGGGATCTCTAGCCTGTGATCTGAGAACTCCTTTCTTCTCGGTTTCTCATTCCCTCCTGATTGCCTTCCCAGGTTAGATGCTTGGGTCTTTCTCAGGGGGAATCCAAATGTGCTTTCCATTTTCTATTATCCCCCAAAGTACACTGTACAGGTCTGGCCCCACTTGGGGAAGATGGGACCATTCACGGGTTTGCATAGTCCTCTTGGCAAATGGGCTTCAGCAACTGGAAGACAGAGCATTTAACACATCAAAAGGAGAAAAGCCATATGATTATTTTAATAGATGCTTTATAAAAATAAGAAGAAAGCAGGCTATTTTAAATCAGTGGGAGGAAAATGGTGAATAATTAGCTAGTCATCTGGGAAAAAATATAAGTGGGTCCCTAAAATGTATTGCTGATGGATTCCAGAATTAAACATAAAAAAACAAAGTATGAAAGTATTACAAAAGATCAAAGGGAATATAGGGATGACCTTATATGAGACCAAAAGACTACAACCACAAGGTGTAAAGGAAAGATAGATGTGATTCTATCAAAATGGAAATTAGTCCCCACGATCAAAGTTAAAAGACACTTCACAGCACAGGAGAAAAGATTTGTAACATGTAACACAAAATGCACATCAAGGATCATACCTCTTAAGGGGGAAAGGATAAATCACTCTCAGAGAAATAAACTAAAGATATAAGACTACAGTTTGTGAAGAGAAAATACAAACAGTGGATGAAACCAGGGGAAGACGATGAGCCTCCTTGTGGATCAGAAAATGAGAAGAACATGGTGCCTCCATTCTCACTTAGCAGATCCACAATAAACAGCAGTGACTGATGCTCTCAGAGGTCCTGAGGTGCTGGGACACAGGCCTCTTCTGCCTGCTGGAGAGACAAATCACAGATCATGGGACGGCCACGGGATGGCAATGTGTCAGTTCTGTGGACATTGAGAGTTTAGATAAGCAGGCCCTCTGACCTGAGGGTCAGCAGGGAAACCTAGATGAGCCTTTCTAAAGTTACATATTGTCTGTAAGAGCAAAAAATATTGGAAGGACCAACGTGGCCAGTAGTAGGGAGGTGGTTGACTGTGGAAAGTTCTGCAGCAGTTTGAGATAATTTGGAATTACTTAGAAATCTGCTCCAGCTTTTATGAGCATGGAAACAAATCCCCTCCCTAGCTCAAGAGATGTCTCAATAGAGAAATGCAGAAAGAAAGAATGAAAGAAAGAGAAAGAAAGAAAGAAAGAAAGAAAGAAAGAAAGAAAGAAAGAAAGAAAGAAAGGGAAATATATTAGAGCCATGCTAAGGTCTTTTGCTTCCACCTAACTTAATGACAATTAACACTATCTTTACTTTCATTACATATGAAACCTAGTCACCTTCCTTTTCTTTTTCTTTATCCCTTTCTCCTCCTTCTCCTTCTCCTTCTTCTTCTTCTTTTCATCCTCTTCTTCTTTTTGCAAAGAAGGGCTAAAGGCCTGAGAAAAAATATGCAGGAGAGTAGGAATTGGTGGGTAGGTCTATAAATGGGTCTGTAGCATCTGAGAAACAGAACAGAATTTAAGCCCTCTGCCCCATGCGCGCGCACACACACACACACACACACACACACACACACTGCGTCACACAGTCTTGACGCAGAACTCCTCCTTCCCCAGAAACCTCAGTTTTGTTCCTAAGACTTTCAACTATTAAGTGAGGCTCCAGGGGTTCAGGACACACTCCCCCAAAATAAGCCACTGTGGCATATTGATTATTTTGAGCTAAAGGCACTTGAGAAGCAGCAGATGCAGGAAGGGCTCTCTGACATCCCCTTTCCAGAAGCCGCTTATAAAATTTCCCTGAGAAAGTGTTCTCCCCTGAGAAAGGCTCCAGCAAAAGAACATAGGATCACCAGAAGCTGGGAGTCAACCCTGAATGCATCTGTGCAAACACATTTCCTAAATAATCCTGGTCTGCCACTAGTTTTGTCCCCTGCCTCCAAAAGTATCTCCTTGTCACTTCCCTACAATTTTGTGCTTTTTCTTGTCATTTCTTTACAAATTTATCAAAACTTCCTCTAAAGGTATAGAAGCTTCCAGCTGTGGTCGCCTCCTGGGGACAACCCCTAGGGTATTTAATTTGATTGTGAAGGCCCCCATGTCAATATAAAAATTTAATACAACTTGGATGCTTCCTCCGATGAATTTGCCTTATGGCAGTTTAATTCTCAGGTTAGGCCAGAGATCTTAAGAGGACAGGAAAACATTCATCAGCCATTTGCGCTCAGGTGCAGATTCCTTGTCCTGTCTGGGAACTCATTCCCTGCGCCCACTCTCCTTCACTTGACTTGTGTGCATTCCTCTTGCAAAAGGGAACTGTTCTGAGGTCAATGCCCCATGATTAACGTAGTGGAGGCTCAGTGAGCACTTGAATCAGAGCAAAGAGTCTGGACAATAATCCAACACGGGTTCTGCCAAAAGATATTACTAGAAAGGTGAGGCTTGGTGCCGACAATCACCTGTACAGGAGATTTACCCCAAGTGCACAGGGATTGGGTTGACTTGAGGTGAAATGTGGGCCCCACAGCCTCCTCCTCAGGCACCTTACAGCCGTGCATACAGCACACAAGTGTTTGCAGGGGCCGGACAGGAAATGCGATACTGCAGGGAAGATGCACAGCCCGCTGCACCCCTGCTTACTCAGAGCTCATGATCCAGACAAGTGGGGCAGCAGAAGGTCCTGGCTGGCTGGTCACACTCCCAGGACAGCACCAGGGAGCTGGACCCCAGGTGGTCAGCACTGCCCTCCTGAGACCACACACTGCCATGGTGCCCAACTTGTTTCTTGTTCTTTCTCCAGGAGGGGGTGAGACAGCTTCCCACACTCACCTGCTCACTGGGAAGCAAGCTGAATTGCTTTTTACTGTGGTGAAATATGCATAACCAAACTGACCCCTTCAACCATTTTTATTTAGTGCATCCACATTATTTGCAACCTCACCACTATCCATCTCCAGATCATTCCTCATCCCAAACTGAACTCTTTCCCCATGAAACAGTAATTCCCCTTCCCCTCTCCTCTCAGACCCTCAATCCTGACTGTGATGAGGATAATATTTTTGGAAGGTTATGTTCATTTTTTTATTCACATTCATATATGCAACCCACCCTTGATTCACCAGAAGCATCCATTGCCCTGGGAAGTGTAGTAAAAGAAATGAAAATGAAAGTCAAATGTTCAGGATTTAGCTTGCAAAACCAGATTTTTGAGCTCCTGGCTTTCAATAATTAGCCAGGCTTTATAGACAGATACACCATCCTTACAAATGCCAGATGCTCAGGAGAAGCTGGGTGGCACCTAGGACACCCTAACTCACAATCACCTTGTCTTCCACTGTGCACGTCTTCAAGAGACAAAGGAATCTATAAGCAGCATCATAACTGTGTTAACAAATGTTTACATGGCTATTGTGGATGAGGAATCCAGGCTTCTGTGTAACATGGAAGGAAGGAGAGGGATGGGAATTTCAAGTGCAAATATGAGCACTCTTATGAATTAAAACCTGCTTTTCTCATTCTCCATCCCCAAGTCTATGGAATAGAGAGGCACTGACCCTTATGTTTCATGACAGGGCTGTGGTCTGACATGTGTGTGACCCCAGGTTTCCTCCCAATGTTGAGATCTGTGAGCACTTTTCAAGAGCAGCCAGAATCACTGTACTTCCCAAAACCAGACCCTGCCTGTGGGACACGGGGTGAGTTTTATAGTGTCAGGTGATGGGACCCACGTGGTCATGAAACATCTCGTGGGAAGGGGACTGAGGGACTTTCTCTGCATTTCTATGCACAACACAGAGCAAATGCTTCTAGACAAAGAAAACAATAAACAAAGCCACACTGACCACAGCAATGTGGTCATCAGTCTTGTGAAACGGAGAAGAAATAGGTCCATGGGGTGATTTTGTTCTAAGATTAGATTTTTCATTTGAAAAAATGTCCATAATTCTAAGATTCTGACTTTCTCAGATTTCTTTCTTTTAAATACTTGTTTTCTTGCTTTCTTTTTCTTTTGATTGCCAATACAATGTTTCAAAACTATTTTACCATGACTGGCACAGTGCTGGGCAGCTGTTGCTGTTTCTAAGCGGTCTTACTCTTTATAATAAAGTGTCAGTACCCATGTTCTTCATGAAATTCACACGGTGTGGGAACCTCTGGCACACAGTAGGGCTGCTCAGGTTCAGGAGTCAGTAAATGAGAAGCTCATCTACATAAAAATCAGCCTCAAACTGTACACTTTGGGAATGGAGATAGTAAAGCTTATTTTTATTTATTTTCAGAACAGCATTTTGCCCAAAGGATGAATGGAAGCTAATCAAGCCGGAAGTCCAACTTTGTTTAGTTTATGATGCATAAGTTAGGTGTCATCAGGAGAAACAATCAGTTAAGGCCAC